GAATTAAGCCATGCTTTCTTGTAAGCCTACATCCTTAGCTAATTAGCATGGAGCAGTATCAGATTTAACAATAAATCAGATTTAACAAAAATGCTAAAAGTCTAAACATCCATAGCAACTGCTAATAATTTCGAAATGAGATTCCAGGTAAGGTAACCAAGCTCATGCATATATATATATATATATAGATATTTATATTCTCTTTTTTTTTGAAGTAAAGAAAGGGGAAAAAAAACTTGCTCAATACTTTTTATCCCCTCGTGTCTGTCAGCCTCTATCGAGCAGAAAAGGAAAGTAGAAAATAGAGAAATTACCTTGCTCGAGCTTTCAAAATAAAGGGGAAGTCATAGAACTCCCAAACACCAAATCCCTGAGCACCTAACCGAGAAGAAATTTTGGCACTCTCCCCAAGGCTCCAAAATTTGTAACCTTCCACAGAGAACACCCTCACAGGGTTTTATAGGCGCAAGAGAGGAAGAGAGGCTCGCGAGACTTGCCCCCAGTGAAACTAAACCCACAACCGAAAAAAAAAACACATCGCAGTTGAGGCCATAGAGGAAGGAACCATCGGAAAGGGGGAGAGGTTCCCCATTCGTGACCCAGGGAACAAACACATCCAGTAAACTTACTGCGAATGGGCTCCCGCACAGCGAGACGAAGCAGAAGGCTTCGGGAAGAGACAATTTCGGGCAGAGGATGTAGGGCGAGGAGTAAAAGGCACGACTAGGGCTCTGCCTGAGCTGGCTCGCGACTGGGAAGAAGAGGGAGTTCGGCCGGATTCGGCTTGGGTCGTGAATGGGAGGAAAAGGGCGGACAGTGTGAGTGAGTTAGGGATTTTAAGAAAATAAACCCCTCTCACGGCTATATAATACAAATATAATCCCTCCATAATATATATGATGTTTAAATTTGCTCGATTTACGCACCACTCGCTTGTGCACAAGACCTTATCAAAGTGGGAGTCCTTCCTAAGGAGTCATTCCTAATTAAAGTCGATGTTCCGGACGCGCCGGCGCGGTCCGTTTTGTCATCCGTGGTCGTCCGGACAACTTCGTCGACAATCGGGTCGAAAACGCGTCAAATTGGGAGTCCTTCCTAATTAAAGTCGATGTTCCGGACGCGCCGGAGCGGTCCGTTTTGTCATCCGTGGTCGTCCGGACGACTTCGTCGACAATCGGGTCGAAAACGCGTCAAATTCAAATTTCTACAAAATTCTTGATCGTGATCGACCGTAGAGCCTTATACGGGTGCAGGTGGCGTGAATTTCAACAATTGTGTGCGTCGACGTGTGCACTATGGTATTCGTGCATCGTGAGTGTGCGTGCAGTTTCCTAAGGCTTTAGCTCCTATGGGTACTCGACTCGAGCTTCGTCGCACTGGTTTTAATCGACTCAACTAAGCGTTGAGGATTTTAGAACCAGTCACATGAAATTGCGAGGAGTGAAGAAGTGACTCAAATTTCTAGTTGGTGCGGGTCCCAGGCTAGTCCTCTAAGAGAGGCGGTAGGAAACCCTAAGGTTAGATTGTAGGCTCTAAGAAGATTAAGAGACCTCACAAAAAATGAGGTCAACAACATCTACCCTTCTCCAACCTTCCCGCATCTTTCCCAATTGCCTTTCCTCGTTGTCGCCATCTGGAAAACAATAAATCTGCCTTCTTCTGCTGTCCAGTCGCCTCTTACTCGCTGCTACTTTAGAAAAAGCGCCCCAACTGTTGTTGTACCTCATCCCAACGCCCCGGGGCATCCTCCCATTGTTGTTCCTGCCTTCCCAGCCGCTCCTCCCCTCCTATTGCTGCCGCCAACCACAAAACATCGGTTCCTTTGCTGTTGATGCTACAAATTGCCCTCTTGCATCGATTTTGGCTGTTTTTTTGCTGTTCGGAATTTGGGAACCAACCTTCTTGCTATTCCTGCTTGCCAATCACCCTTTTCCACTGCCCTGCCAGCTGCCAAACCCTCACCCACCACCTCCCACACTCTTTGATCCAACCCTAGAGGGTGGTAGTGTGTTGTCCATTATTATTTATGAGTTATGTATGTGATGGTAAGTTCATATTTGAATTCTGCAACAATATTCATTTTTCCGTTGTTTTTGGTTATCTCCGGTGTCATTCATTTTTATTGAAGCTCAAATGAACAATTAACAAACGTAAATAAAGAATTTAGAGGACAAATAATTATTGTTTGAAAGTTCATTAAATTACAATTATCATAAGAGTCGGATAATATAATGTTCAAGTTCATCAATGATTTTAATAACAATATCAGGCTCTGCAGTGATCAAGCAGTTGAATCCCAATATGAAATCTACCATTTAGCCTTGAAAATTGAGGAACGTCATCAGTAGTCTCTTGCTTACCACAAATTCATTAACTATAATCACCAATATTGTAAAATGGCTAAATATTTAGAGAAAAAAGAAAAAGACGTCGAACCCTTCTCTTATTACTAACCAAGTTGAAATGAATATTCAAAATTTTGCCAAATTTGAAAGCTCCTTGTATAATAAGGCAATTAGGGCATCATAACAAACCAGCGAGCTTGCGTGGTACATTCTACACTTTGACTTATAGTGATGCGATACACTTGGGGGAACCTTGGACTGGTTCGGTCTAGGAGTTGGGAGACCGACCGACTCTTCTAACCTTAGGCAGTACCGCCAAAGGGAGTGAGTCCACTCGTAGTTATCCTAATCTTAGATATTTGCTTTTGTGATGCTTTAGGGTTAGTTTTTTTGTCTTGTTTATTTCGAGTCAATTGTCGACATCTTCCTTTTCACTACAGTTGTATCTATTGACTTCATTTTTGTTGAGTTCTTTTTCTATTTTCAAAGCCTTGGATCTATCCTCAGGACTTCCTATATGACTTTTCTAGAAGACTAGTACCGGGACCCACACTGACTGGAATTTGAGCCACTTCTTGACTCCTTGTTGTCTCATATGTATGGTTTCAAATCCTCGACACTTAGTTGATCAATTGAAACCAACAAATTGAAACTCAAGTCGAGTGCCCATAGGAATCAAAAAAGCTATTAGGAACCTTTCGGCGCGTGACGAGTGACTCATTGCCGAAAGCGGTCTGCCCATATCTTTTCGAACAATAGGATTTACTAAGTATTTTTCTATTTCAATTGGATTATATCAGGGATTGACTTTATGCCCATATCTTTTTTTTTGTTTTAGTTATGGATGAGTTATGGATGCTCTTACTGGACATTTATTGGAGGATATTCCTTGGCGTATGCTTTTCGTTGATGATATGTTTCTTGTGGATAAGACTAGAGAAAGAGTTCAGGAAAAACTTGAATTATGGAGGTCTACATTGGAATCTGAAGTTCTTTGTTTGAGTAGGTCTACATTAGGAGTAGTAGCTCTTGTGACAGAGTTGTAACCATGGGTGATCAAATCATTAAAATATATGAACATTTTAGATATCTCAGATCTATTGCTTAAAATAATGGTGGTATTGATGGAGATGTTACAAGTATAATTTAAGTTGGTTGGTTGAAGTGGAGGAATGCATCTGACTTATTGTGTGATAGAAAAGTACCGCTTAGGCTTAAAATACAATTTATAAGATGGTGGTGACACCTACAATGCTTTATGGTGCGGAATGTTGCCTTTTAAACGAGAAGCCTAAGACAAATTTAAATGTTGCTGAGATGAAAAGCTGAGGTGGATGAGTGGCTTGACACTTAGAGACAAAATGCTAAATGATTATATTTGTCATAAGGTTGGTGTAGCTCCAAGATAAGATTAGAGAGAGTCGTCACATATGGTTTGGTCATATTAAATGGCGACCATATGATGATTTGGTTTGGAGTATGTTTTATCTTCGACTTGTGTTAAGAAAGGCAGAGGTAGCCCTAAAAAGACTTGATTTATAAAAAAATATCTTAATCTTTTAAAATTAAATGAAAATATGACACTCAATTGGACACAATGGAGAAAAATAATTCATGTAGCTGACCCCACTTAGTGGGATAAAGGATTGTTGTTGTATTTGTTAGCCTACTTGAATTCTTGTGTTTCTTCTGAAACTTTAGATCTTAGGATGCTCTACGTAAAAATAATGTCATGAAATTTTAATTCTTGAAGTGGGACCTTTTGATGATGAATATATAAGCAAGAATAACTAAGAAAAGGTCCTGCCAGCTAAAAGATTTAAGATTTGGAATGTCTTAACTCTAATAAAAGATTAGAGAATAAACCTTAGAAATTTTCTTAATATGAATTTGAGGTAGACCAAAGCTGCACTGTAGTTTGATTGAAAGAAATCTTGACTGCCTCAACTTGTAAAGAAGAAATGGCAAAGTGAAAGAGCAATATTGAGCATCTATAAAGGAGTTAAAGGAAGTCTCCCTATGTGATATTTATAGCCGAGAGGAAGATGCAAACAAAATTTGGGATAAAATTTAAAGCTATAGGGCTTTGGCCAACTTGTCTTGGGAGAAATTAAATTTTAGTTTTCATGACAACTGTTCATCACATCTTATGTACGATTAATTGTAAAATTATTTTGCATCTAAAATGACTAACAATCCATTTAATAAATTTTAGAAAGTTCAAATATACTCAAGTATACAAAAAACATTGAAACCATGAATAAACCATGCTGTGAAATGGAAATATGAAACCATAGCTCTTGTCAATCATCATGTTGAACAGGTTTAGGTTTGATGAACATGTGCACAAACTATTATGATATAATCCCATTTGTTATCATCATTAACCTTATCCCAATTATGCAATTAACTTTGTAAATTCTCAAATTTCATTTGATTTTTTAGTTGCTGCGTGAGGAATTAAACCTATACCTTGCAAGTATTTTTGAAGAGCTTGTATTCACATTTATGTATGTTCTCTCTGATAAAATTTAGTATGTTTATTTTTTCTTAATTGTTGAATGAGTACCAGTTATAAATTCATCGAGAATATCTTCCTCTTGTCATTATCATTCTTTTTTGCTTATCTATGTGCTCACAGAACCTTCTCTTCAGGCTTCTGAAAAGGTTTTCTGGCCAGATGCTGTTGTCTCTGCAATCACTGCACTCGAGAAAGCTTCTCATGAACTTCTCGGGTCTGATTTTCAGAAATACAATCAAAAAATGAGGCAACTGGCATATAATCTGAAGGTGGATAATTCATTGAATTTCTTTTTGTTTGCTTTTGTTAAGTTCTTGCTATACTTATTGATTCTTATAGTGCTATTAACTACATGTAGCTATTCGTGTGGTACAATCTACACGTTATGAATAGTTTCTACCCATCCTTGTTAGTTAAAATTTTTTATCCTCTCTGCATTGGTGTTAACTTTGTCCATTCGTAGTTTGTTCTTCCAGATTTGTGCATATCCCAGGACTTTACACTATCTCCCTACAATACGAATTATAATTCTCTTAAAACAATTTGGCTGTGATTGGATGCTAGGAATTTGAGTGTAATGAAATGGGAAAAATGTTGAAAAACTAAAATCATACCTAAGATTAATAATCAACCAACAAATTAGGAATGTATATTTAAATGGTTGAGTTTGAATAGTTTATTTGTAAACCTTGCTTGTCGCTTAGTTATTCTTACCAATTAGGAAAGTATATTTCCTTTATGGGAACCTCTAGATAAGCATTGGGCTTTTGGTAATGCTTGTTGTATTGATTATTTATGATTCTGCTTGGATGGAATGTGTTTAATGTCTGCGCTCTATGCCAACGCCGACCAAATATATACCAAATGTTGTAATATTGATATTAGTTGTTTGTCTTCTGCATCTTTTACATAGAATACTAAGTTTGAAAATTTGTTTTAGCTATTTTTTATTTAAATTTATTTCTTAATGCAATTATCATTGATCCTTGTTTTTTTTTCCTTTTTTCTTTTTTAAGGTATTGTAGTTTTCGTTCTTTCTGTTAACATTTAAGACTTACTCCCATCATGTGCATTCTTTTGTCATATGCATAATAAATTTGACATTTCCAGATTAGCTTTGCTCGTATTTCACGTGCTTTAAAATTATTCCCTTTAATAATTGAAACATTTGCGTTCTCATGCTCATGCATGTTGCAATTATCATTGATCCTTTTTATTTTATTTTTCTTTTTAAGGTATTGGATTTTTCATTCTTTCTGTCAACATTTAAGAGTTATTCCCATCATGTGCATTCTTTTGTCATATGTATAATAAATTTGACATTTTCCAGATTAGCTTTGTTAGTACTTCATGTGCTTTAAAATTATTCTCTTTAATAATTAAAACATTTTCCCCCTTATGCTCATGCATGTTGCATGAATAACTAGTTCCTTTGAAGCCCACCGAATTTAATAGAAAGTGTTATGTTTGGGGAAATGAATGAAGTTTTGATCCCGGTGATCACATCATCAATGAATTGGAATCAATGGTGATGTTTATAGGTGTAGATGTGACCACCACTGTTGGGCTAGTAGGTGCGGGCGCAAGAGCCATTACTCCCAATGAAAAATCTATAGCTAATTTCAAGTTCTGATAGCTAACCTGATTTGATAAGAGGAATTGCTTTCAATGTGGAAGAGGGTCAGATATGATAATATTATTGTGCCTCAAAATTACATTTCATCAGTTTTGGATAATTTTTGAAGCATTTGGAGAAATTATGCTTAGACATTTTGTAGGATGAAAAATGTTCTAAGATACTTTCAAATTTTGCCTTTTGCTAATATGTACAAGTCAAGGTGCAAATCCCCACCTCTAATCACTGAGAAGTAATGTTCAGCTCAACCAGGACTCTAGTCACATAAGGTTTGAAAGATGAGCAATATTATTATCCACTTATAAATAGTTGTCAAATATAAAATGAAAAAAATAAAGTGAATTGATTGAAATAATGTAAATGAAGTTGAAGGAATGCAATGCATACGAGTATGGTTTCTTAAAAGAATCAAGTTTAGCCTACGATTTTAGCATACATATCAAAGATTACTGGTATGGTAGAACTGCTGAGAGAAAAGCCTGGTGTAGTTTGTCTCTGAAGATGGTCTAATAAAAACTTGATGGGGGTCAATCAACCCAATGAAATGACAATCGGATGTGATCTTGTAATTTTTTTTGCAATTATCATTGTAGTTTATGATTGGTTATCTTCCTTGAATAGCATTCAAGCTTAGTTCTTTTAGGGATGTGCTCTAAGGCATACCTATTTGTTCTTTTATCTTTTGCTGTTTTACAATTTTGAGAGGTTTTCCTTTTTTGTTAAATCCCCTGTATGTTTTGGTTTAGTGGCATATTGTGTATGAGTTTGAATATTGTTTTGTTAGTTCAATAGCTATACAGAAATATCAGCAATGCTCCTGTATTATATTTATGCACATCTTATTTGTGCACGCTAAGGCATATCATATAATTTAATTTTTCCTTATTTTTACAGTTTTGAGGGATTTTTCTTCATCGCAGGTTTTTTATAATTTTGTGTTTATAGGCAAAACTCTTTAGAGCATCAACAAGGATCTCAGTAGTTTATTTGACCATTATGGTTATTACTTGAGGATTGACATTGTTCAAATTTAATGAAGTTGATTTACACATCTGTGATGGATCCAATTAGATGCTGTTGAAGGAAGTACACAGGATGTTTCCAATTCCTGTAATGTGAACATGAAATAACAATTCAGCAACATGTACATTTTTGCTCTGATAGGTCTATATTATAAACTCATGGTTTTTTTTTTCTCATGCTTCTTAACATGATTTCATATTCATCGATTGGTTCTTCTTTCCAATCGGTTGTGCAGGAAATTCTTATCATGCTACAGTAGATTAATTATTTATCATATTTGGGCTACAATAGATGCTTTGGACATAGTTGCGATTGGCCGTTCTGGGATTCTCATTTTTATTTATTTTGGTTGTGGTAAAGGATGGAGAATTAGGTTTCTTTGGTATGATGGAAGCACTTGAGAGGTAGCTTGTCTGTTTAATTGGGTCCTCTGAATGATATGATTATACTATAATAATTTTTAGTCATGGTTATATATATGTTAATCTTTACATGGATATATATATTTTTTTTGAAAAAAACCCCAAGGGCTAATATATTAAAGAGAAAAGATACATATAGGTTGTATGGGTGGGCCTAAAAATAGGCACCCAACCCATACGGTACACAACACAAAAAAATTAGAAAGGGTTACGTATAAAAATAAAAAAAGCCCAAAACCACCAGGGCGCTGAAAAATTGAGGGTCATCCCAATCTAGTCCTGCCTCTGGCTCTAGTTCTCGGAATGAATCCAACTAACATATTGGTAATATGCGCACCATTACCCGTAGTAACCAAAGTATCATCCATAAGACTCATGAGTTCAAGTTGATCTCCATTCTTCTTCTTCCTCCTGGAAGTGTAAATCTGCCATTCCTCATCTGAAGACTTAGTTTGATGAGGTGGTAGAGTTGAAGCAGAAGGATTACCAACTGTAGTACCCACAATAGACTCTAATGTATGTGCAGTACGAGTTGTCTCTACACCGAAGACTTACTGAAGAAGGGGAGCTGCAAGGTTCTCTTGATTATCAGTCTGAACACTATCCTTTCTCTAATGTATGTGAAGTACGAGTTGTCTCTACACCGAAAACTTACTGAAGAAGGGGAGCTACGAGGTTCTCTTGATTATCAGTCTGAACACTATCCTTTGTAGGTAATATTTCATCAGTATTGTTTTCTATGGGGTTTGAAGGTGTCAACATCACATCACTCGTAGTAACAGTAACAACAGTGTGATTCGGGGGTCCATAGGGGCAACATACACCTTTTATCTGGTAGTATCCTCCCTAGGTAGAACTAAAATGTCCAGAGCAGTGGGGTTAGACCAATCTTTATTCACTTGAACCTTAGATTTCAAATTAGGATGAAACTTGTGACATTTATCAAGGATATGCCCAAACATCTTACAGTGGGTACAATATTGGAGTCTGTGTTCCATGACTATTTGTTGTCAATATCCATTATGGGTTGTGCCCAGTCAGACTTCATTAACATCTGGTAAAGTAGGTAAAGTAATATCCCTTTCCACAAATATTCTGGCCACAGAAGGTCTGGCTAAGTTGAAAGTAGGCAGATCTAATTTCAAATGTCCCGAAGGATGACCCCAATAGAGTAGAGAACTTGATGGTGAAAAAAATGCAGCTTGAGACCAGGTAGACTAAACCATGCCGGTACAGTGGGAGTTTCATGATTTGGGTCGAAATCAGAAGATCACTTGAGTAATTTCATTGATTTGCCTGCGCTTAAGATATTTCTTTGAGAAAATTCGGGTGTAGTCTTCAGCCACTGTTAGTTATATCAACACATGTCTCTCATCTATAAGTCTCACTTTCCACTTGCTTACTAATTTAAGATCATTAACACTCTTTCTGATAACATCCATAGGTGGGTGCCCCCACTGAAATTTTTCAATAATGGCGAATTTGAATTTCTCAGTCAATGTTGAAATTTCTAAATCAGAGACACATTTTCTACTTCCTTTCTTAACAAAAGGGCAATCATCTGTACCATCGCGACAATTGTTATAGCTTGAGGGGAAGACCACCGCGGACTCCACCTGAGGGTTACCCACCACGTGGGCAAAGGAGGTCTTTGCCGGTTCAGCTAAAGAAGAAGGAATTGCCATCAAAGTAAGGAGATGTGTTGGCGTTCACCTGCGGCGAGTTTTTGACAAGCAGAAGAAACAAAGTTGTTGCTGTCACGCCGGAAAAAAGCACGGGAGCAAACGCAAATAGAAGAAAACAAAGCGTCGAAACAGAAGGAACGAAACTGTCTAGCACAGAAACAGGGAAGGCACAACGTCCAAACAGGAAAGACGCAAACCGCATGGTCGACGCAGACGCGAGCTAGAATCTACGACCGACGATGCCGACACAGACGCAGACCGGAGCAAGAGTCGACGAAACGAGTTGTGAGCCCCTCTCCTTCGAGCGCGGTAGAATCAAATGCTGCGACGGAAATCTCCATTGGAAACTCTAGCATAGCTCTCGACCGCAACTGACATCGTGGTTCTCACGGTTAGGATGTCTTTTACGCATGGATATATATATATCTGTATGTGTGTGTGTGTGTTAATCCTTACACATGGCATTCACAAAAATTGTTTTATACTCCAGTACATGAATCCAGTTTTTTGTTAGATTTAATTTAATTATTTATTTAGTTTTTCTATTACTTCACAGTTTGGTTGCTTTTGCGTTGTTGGAAATTTTTGAACTCTTTGGGAAACATTTTGTTAATACTAAACTTTGTTAGTTGCAGCCAGTAAACTTGACTTTGGTATTATTTAGTTTCAGCAACCAAAACTGCTGATTACTTTTAGAGAGCAATTATTTATATGTTACATTAACTATATTTCCTATGATTCGGCTATTCAGAACAAGTTAGCTGAACGTTTGGTGAACGGAGAACTCGAGCCTTCTGTTGTTTTGACTATGACGCCAGATGAGTTGAAGGTAAGAATTTAATACTATATTTAATTTAAACATGTACTACAATTGTTTTTCACCTATATATCTGTCTGGCACTATTTTGCTTGCAAGCTGCCGTTTTTCCTGAAGATTTGACATACTAGGGATCTTTAATTTGTCATCAAGCTTTCCTATGCTGAGGCTTTATTGGGCCTGTGAATTTTACAGTTACAAGGAACTCTGCTCATCAATAGAGCTTAAATATGTTTTTATACCAGTCCTAGAGCTTGTATTCCTGTTTGTTCTACAAGTGTTTGTGGACATGGGAAGTATCGGAGCGCATTTTTGAAATAAAGTTGTCTAGAGAGACATTAGTACTTTGTCTTGATTTGTCATACATATTGTTTTTTGCCATAATTGGTTACTTTTTTCATTAATATTTTTTGGGTGTGCATTTCAGGAGGGTTTAACAGTAGCTGAAAGGGCGACCAAGGAACCTGAAAAGACAAAACAAATGCAGGTTGTTTTTTGTTTTCCTTTTATGCTATTCAAATGTACGAGTTCTCACAACTGTTACAGAAACACAAACTTGGCAAATTTTTCTCCCTACTTCAAATGACAAATTTGGGTACTGTTTGACTAGCTCCTTTCTGTAACTTTTTAAGCGTCTTAAACAGAGTAGATCTATAAAACTGGGTCAATTATGCTGCCTGTTAGGTCAGCTCAATATTTAAAAAATACACCCCTTGCATTACAATGATGATATAAAGTTATGCAATGCATATTTTAAAGATCTGTTTTCATTGCACATATTGGCTCTGCTAAGAAACTAATGCTGCAAAGTAGAATTGACCAATTTGGTTTGCACGAAAAAAACATAATGAAGAGCTTAAAAGCTAGGTTTTGTTTATGATGGTGAAACATGTTTGAAAAATTTTACTCCATGTTTTTGGATTTCCTTGCACTCATTGTAATCAAACCACGTAGCCAAACTGTGCATCTAGTCTTACCATTAGTTCGTTCATATGGACCTTTGTTTGCCTTTATAACCAGATGACTGATGCTCGTTGTTCGAGATGCTCTAAGAAAGAAGTTGGTGTGGCTGACATCATCCAAGCTGGAGGACATGGCGATAGATACCAGGTTCACAAAACTTTATGTTTGTTTTGTTGTGTGCAGTGGAAAATATTCTCCCATTTGCTTACAGCATTTCGCCCTTATTTTTCTTCCTGTGTTATTTGCCTCTTTTCGTTGAAAACTTAGATGCTTTGCGTTTTTCTTCATGGAATTTAAGAGCAGAATATCTCTAACGCGTTTAAAATGTCTGAAAATGCTCCTTCCACTAAAAGAATAATTAACCTTAACGTTTGATAAAAGAACAATATGTTATAAAAATTGGTTTAAATATAAAAGCTTAGAGAACTGAGAAAAATATCAAACGGCCCACATACAGTCTAAAAGAACAATATTTGACATTAAAAATTTTGCTTTTAATGATCTCTATAATAGATTAGATACCAAAAGGTTGAAAAATATATGTATAAACTAGTCAAACAAAGAGAAAAGAAAAGTAAAGCTTTAACTCAAGTAAAGTGTGTTAAAGATGAAAATTAAAAAGTGTTTTTCTTAGAAAAAGATATTCAACATAGGTGAGTGAATTATTTTGATAAAATTTTTCATTAAGTTTCTGAAAATATGATCGATCTTAGTGATCTTAATATCATTAATAATAATAAAACATTTCATTTTTACTGTCGCATTAGTAAAAAAAATGTAGAGAGGGCTTTAAAGAAAATCAAGGGTGGAAAGTCTGTTGGACCTTGATGATATCTGCATAAAAGTATGGAAATGTTTAGGAGATTTGGGAGTTTCTTGGCTAACTAAACTCTTTAATATTATTTTAAAAACTAAAAAGATGTTTGAGGAGTAGAGGAAGAGTATTTTGGTCTCCAACTTTAAGAATAAAGAGGATGCACAAGAGTGTGCAAATTATAGAGGAATTAAGTTGTTGTGTCATACTTTAAAATTATGGGAGAAAATAAATGAACTTAGGTGAAGACATATTACAAAGATTTCTCATAATCAATTTGGATTTATGTCGGGCAGGTCTACTGTGGAAGCTATACATTTATTGAGAAGTTTGATGAAGAAGTTCACAGATAATAAGGAGAATCTACATTTGATTTTTATTGATTTAGAAAAAGCTTACGATAAGATTCCAAGTGATATCCTTTGAAGAGTTCTTGAGAAGAAAGACGTTGATATGACTTATAGTCAAGTCATTAAAGATATGTATACTAAAGTTGTTACTTTTGTTCGAACTGAAGGAGGATTGACCAATTATTTTACTATTTCTATTGGATTACATCAGGGATCGGCTTTAAGCCCATATCTTTTTGCTTTAGTTATGGATGGTCTTACTGGACATTTATAGGAGGATGTACCTTGGTGTATGCTTTTTGCTGA